AACTTTTTTTGGTCGATATTACGCAGCTTGCGGGAGATTTGGTTGATGCAAAGAAAAGTGTTCTATGAAATGCCTGAGAGGAACTCGGTCACGTGGAATGCTATGATCACTGGTTTAGTTAAATGGGGTGAGCTTGAAATGGCGCGTAGTCTTTTTGAAGAGATGCCGGATAGGACTGTTGTGTCGTGGACGGGTATCATTGATGGTTATACGAGGATGAATAAGTTTGATGAAGCTATAGCTTTGTTTCGAAGAATGGTTGTTTTTGAAGGTATAAAACCTAGTGAAATTACAATCCTGGCCATTTTACCAGCCATTTTCAGTAAGGGAGATCTTAAAATGTGCCAGTCAGTTCATGGTTACGAGGAGAAAAGAGGCTTTAATGCAGTTGATATTCGTGTTATGAATGCACTAATAGATGCCTATGCTAAATGCGGATGCATAGTGAGTGCATCAAGATTCTTTGAGGAAATATCATCAAAGATAAGAAATTTGGTTACATGGACATCGATGATTTCCGGGTTTGCAATGCATGGAATGGGGAAAGAAGCTGTAGATTGCTTTGCAAGGATGGAGAAAAATGGTCTCAAGCCAAATCGAGTAACATTTTTAAGTGTCTTGGATGCTTGTAGTCATGGAGGACTGGTTGAAGTGGGGCTCAAGTTTTTCCAGAAGATGGTTATCGAAGGTCAAGTTTTACCGGACATTAAGCATTATGGGTGTCTAATAGATGTGTTGGGAAGGGCAGGGAGGTTAGAAGAAGCAGAAAAGCTGGCTCTGGAAGTTCCTGATAACATTGCTAATGTTGTGATTTGGAGAATACTTTTGGGTGCTTGTAGTTTTCATGGTAATGTTGAGATGGGTGAAAGAGTTACACGGAAGTTATTGGAGATGGAGAGAAGTTATGGAGGGGATTATGTGCTTATGTCAAACATTCTTGCTGGTGTTGGGAGGTTTAGGGACAGTGAGAGATTGAGGATCACAATGGATCAAAGGAATGCTTACAAAATTCCAGGGCAGAGTTTGGTATGACTGGACCTACAAGTGAAATTGATTTAGTAGACTCGTAGACACAGAGTTACTTGCATTACAAGTTTAACAAATTGGCTGAGATTGCTAGGAATAAGCTTTTCAAGTCGCATCTTCAAGTATTCCTTTTGTGGCTTTAATATGATTCAAGAGTCACAGATGACTACAAATGGCATGGCAGCCAACTTTCTTAAATGATTGCATCAAGGAGAATCTCAATAATAAGGTGTGGTATGATTCTCATCCTAATCTGAAGATTAGTGCTTTAACACTGAATCTTCTTGTTATTGATTCAGTGATTACAGTGAAGATAATTGAACATTTCGGGTTGATCCATAATGTGAAATTTCTGGTATGTTGACTGCATATCGACAAAGGGATTCTAGGGACTACAGGTTACTGTGATTTCTGTTGTTACTATGAGCCTAACAAGTCTTTCAAATTCCAGGTCAGATTTCGATATTATCCTCATTTTAGTTAGGCTATGCTAAGAATAATTCTAAAATTTATGTAGAATTCATTACTAAATCTCACACTTATTTTAACTAGAAGATAATGAGATTACTATCTAAAATCATGAAATGGAATTCCATATGGGATTGTAACAATATATCATAATTTCATCAATTTTGTTGAATTTTGAAATATATTGCTCCAATTTCACTTGGAGTTCCTTATATTAAAATTTTATCATCCTAATACAATTTATACTTTCTTTTAGATAAACTAAATACTAATACAATCTACATCATTTCTGGATTGGTTTTTGTCATGAATAATTGAGTTGTATTCTCAGGGAATATTACGTCCTTATATATACAAGTTTTAGGGATAAGAAAAAGTAAAGTTACAATAACTACAAATGGTGTATTTTATTTTAGTACCTTTTAACCTAATATAATCCTATTTATATATAAAGTACATTCTTTAACAGCTTTAAACATAGTCTAAGAAATTTCTTCTTGGAGCTGCTTGGATTAATGCAAGCTTAGATGATTGATCCAATGTAATTTTCAATATTTTGATGTTTGCAAGCATTTTTGGATTTATTTTTAAGTGATGAAGGGATTAACTATTGACGAATTTGCATGCTGTAAATTGCTTGGTGATGCCACAGCCTGAGGAGAATGAACTCACACATGAAGCAGATGAGTCACTGGCTTGTGGGGGAAAGGTGTTGCACGATAATAAAGATGCTTGTTCCTGTAGAAAACTATATTATAGTAAAGGTTTAACCTTCCTTGCAAGGTTACCTTTATTGGCATATTGTTTGATTTTCGAGAAACTCTGAGAAAGAAAACCAATTCTGAATCTTTGGTCTTCCATTCACTAGGTATGAAATCTGGATTGCTAATACTAAAAAGTTGTATTCTTTAGATATGATATGATTTAAGTTATCAAAGTTGTGCTGCCAATATAACACGTGGTATTGCAGCTTGAGACTGGAGAAAGTTGGAGAGGCTATGATTTCTCATTTCAAATATTCCTGCTGAAGATTATTAATCCTTCTCCCAAAGTAGATTTAGGTTATGAAGGCTAGTATATCACTTTAGCACTCTGTCCCCATGTTATAATTCTTCTTTACATATCTTTCTTCTTTCTGGCACCCACTTCAGCTAGTGTGCCAATCAGTGTTCGGTTTTTGCTTTAACTTCACAGGAACTTTAGTGATATGCTTTGATACACAGAAATTCTCTGATTTGTCTCTTTCAAGAAAATTCTTTGGATGAGACCCAACTTTAATTCCATTTCTCATCACCTAGATCATTTCTTCCACCCCCTTCCGGATGGTGTATCTATAGATAATATGTATGGTAGATACTGTGGATATGGTGCTTATCAGTCGAGCTGCCAAGCTTCTGATGCCCTTAAAAGAAAAAAAGAAAAGAATCTCTTATGGTACCTGCTTCTTATGGCTGAGCACCCACTATACTACACCATCAGTTGTACACAAATTTGAGGATAGAAACGTTCTGCTTGGATTCTTATTGACCAGATAGAACTGGTGATTTTAATTTCTTATTTCACTGTAAATCTAGTAGGAAATATAGCACACTTGATTCTGATTTTGTAAGAATCTTCAATGTCTCGTGGATTTTCTTGAATGGAAGTCTGTATGCTTATAGCTTCTCTTCAGCACTTGGTATTGATATTTTGTATTGGTATGTAATGAATTGCAGTCACTTAGTGATAATGCAATTTCATGAAATCAGGGGATCATTTATGGTTTTCCCCCTTCAAGAATCAAGATGTGGGATAATCTTCTCCAAGTTGCCCGATTCTGGATCAGAATCTAAAATGATTTGGGAATATGATCTTGCCTATGGTGGTCTTGGGATATTCTTCACTGCAAATATGATTAGTCAATTTTGTATTGTTTTTGAAATCAGTCATCAACATCAATACAAGAGACAAATTTAAAGATGGTAAATTTAAGGGTATTACGAATGAATCTTCATATCCAGTCATTCAGTAGAAAAGGACGTGAAGTTGTTGGACAGTAACTCAGACAGACCTTAACTGATGAATTACAGCTTATATACATGCATATTCTATCTAGCATACCTCCATGCAAGTTTCAATTCTTATTAATTAAGAATTTGAAAATGAATTGGGAATTCAGAATTACAACAAACTAGATACCATAGACTTGAAGGATCTTTGGGTTAATTAATTGATTCAAGTATATATTGGAGAATATTGTGATTGCCAAAACTGGCCTGCAGAGAAAACATACTGCACAAAAATAGCCACCTAATGCCAAATTCCCAGGGCAATGGCGATGCTAAACAATAGCAAGAGTGTAACATTTCCTCCCGGTAGAATGGACTTCCTGCAAAACCCAACCAAACTCTTTTAGATGCAGCCAATGTTCCACCATAAATTCATTAGAACAAGACTTTTAGAAGAGCTAGAGAGACTAGATAGGTGCCTAAGAATTGATGGGAATACCTGAGCTTCTTCCTAGATTGCTGTATATATGCCATAGCTGGAGGAAGGATACCAAACAAAAAACAATTGGCATAAACCCCAGCAAAATCCAGAGCTCTTGAAAAAGTCGAGCGAAAGAAAGGTGCAATAACAGCTGGAACACCCAGCAGAAGAGGCATTACAAACATTTCAATAGAATCAAATCTAAGGTTTGGTGTCAGCTTTACATCTGAGGCAGTAAATGCCTTGTTGTCGTTATATGAAATCTTCCCTACATTGCCAATTTCACGGTTCCCAGCAGAATAAACTGCAAACCCAACTTTTCCTTTTCCATTTTCATTAGAAATTTCACATTTCTCAAATATCTGTTTCAAGGTATCCATAAGTTGTTTTGGGAAGCTAACAGCATATCCTATCAAGCTTGTAGCCAGGGCAGAGAATGCGAAGCCTTGAACAGCTGACAAAGCATAAGGATTTACAGAAAGCAAGAGGGATATGGGGTCAGAGGAGGTGGTGGCTGGGTTGGTCCCTGCAAGCCCTAAAACAATCAAATTCCACGATAGAACCATAATCAACGGAACAACTCCACCAACTAGTATAGCTTTCCTAGCCTCAGATACAGAGTTTCCAGCAATCTTGCAAATGAATGGTGTGATAACATGGAATCCTAATGTGAGAACGGTAACAGGAATAGCAGGCAAAATCAATGAGATACTCCATGATGCACGGGCAAAGGAAGCCAACAGATTAGCTCTTGATATAAATATTCCAATGGCTACAAGTGAAGTTATGGAGAAAAGCATGAGAACACACAACAGTCGGTTTGCAGCATCAATGAACTTAAATGGGAAGAACATAATCACAATTCCAGCTGCCAGAGGAAACAAGGAATGGGCCAAAACTAGATTCATCCATGGAAACCACTGAGAAACAATTGAACCAATGCCTGAAACACAAGCCACTAACAAAGCAAAACTCAAGCAAGCATAAACTACTGAAACAAAAGCACCAAAATCATTCCCTAATGCTTTGGTTGCAAGGCCGGTGAAGCTCACCTCTGCCACAGCATCTTCCTCCATGGCTGCAAAACTGAGCTCTGCAACAAGAATGATTGAGGAGATAACATAAACCCAAGAAAGAACTATTGCAATGGTTGCTGGAAGTGGGCCAGATTTTAAGGTTGCAGCAGGCAGACCCAGTATACCAGGCCCTACTGCAGTGCCAATGATCAAACCAACTGCACCCCAGAAACTTTTTTCCTTACCACCTTCTCCAGTTTCTGGAAATTTCTCAGACCTCGTGGTTTTATCAACTTGACCACCACCATTAATGTCATCGGAAGAAGTAACAAGAACTGAAAGAGAATCGTGATTTGAAGCGAGAGGGTAAGTGGAGGAAATGGGTTGGTTCATTGACAATAGTTCAGGCTTGTGATTGAGTGATTTGGGATGGGTAATGGAAAGAGAGAGTGTGTCAAGAATAGGGTTGTGGGGACGAAGATTGAATCTGGAAAATGTGACTGAGTTGGGTAAAGATGAATATTTGTGATGTGAAAGACGCATTGCTTAGATGAAAGATTTATGAGCAGAGGGAATCTGGGTGGGTGAGATACTTTGTCCCCCCCTCCCGTATAGCAAAATTTGAGGAACTCCAATAATAATTGTATAGCGAAGTTCTGATAAAGCCTTTGCTGTGTCAGATGAGAAATGACGCTAGAAACAGAATCTACGAACAAGAGAGTCAGACAGAGAGTTGAGCCAACGGGAGCTGACGGCTCCTGGCTTCTGGAGGTTAAATGTGCTTGTTTGGACACGGTAAAAATTCAATTCCCTATTAGGTTATAAAACAAAGGTAAGGCTTTTTTTTAGTACATTATTTTACTTAAGTACTCGATTAGCTAGGGTAATTTGTTTCTCTTGGACTAGTGGGCCAAATATCGATTTGTTTTTTTTTTTTTATAATAAATTTGATTCGGAATTTAGTTTATAATTTTTTCATATTTATTATAAATTTTTTTACGGAAAATCTTATGTCTCTTTCTTTTACGATTTTTTATTTTATTATTATTATTTTAGTTAATTGTATATTGATGTTTTATTTAAGATATTAATTGGTTAATTATTTTAAATTACGTAAGTAATTATATTTTTTTATTATAAATATTTATGTAATCTTATTAAATTAAAAACTGTCAAGCTAACTCATAAATAAAAAAATCATGACTTAAGAGAATGTAATATCTCTTCAGCAAAATTCAATCATTCTCGAATAATCACATTAAGAAAATTAGAGAATAACCATCCAAAATTGATACAAAATCTAGTATTTGTATAGTACAAATTATTAAAAATTTAAGTAGTAATTATTCGAACTAATAATTTATATTTAATAAAATAATTAAATAAATATAATATTTTAAAATAATTAAAATTTTAGAAATGTCTAATACTATTTAAACTTATTATAATTATTATTTTTTAGTATTATGAAAAATTTTAATTATCTATTATTAAATGATCGACTAAATATCATAACACATTTTATATTATTATTTTCGTGTTAAATATCATTATACTACTAATTACTAATTAACTACAAGATTAATACTCCATTTACGTTATAAAAGATTAAACCTTCCATTTAGATTTTATATTCCCACGTAATTTATAAAATATGTGTTTTGATTCGAGTTGAATTTTTTTTTTTTTTATGTTTTCATGAAGTGAGGTTTATGTAAGATGAATGTAGTAATTATTAATATTTTTTTAAAAAAATTAATTAGTTGTACAATAGCTTTACAGTTAATTGTAATTTGTAAAGACTAATTCAAGGTGAAAATTGAATAACAATTTTCCTTGTTATATCTTCTTCAGAGAAATTTTATCTGCATCACCAAATTTGGCGCTAAAATCCATTAGAATTATAATGCCGCCCCATCGCCTCCTCCCTGCACCTCTTGTGGCTGCGCCGGCTTCTGCACCTCTTGTGGCTGCGCCGGCTTCTGCACCTCTTGTGGCTGCGCCGGCTTCTGCACCGTCTCCTCCAGTCTGAGGAGAATGAAGGAACGCTTGAAGCTGATGAGTAAATGGTGCAACAAAGTGCTGCAAGATAGTGAGGATGCTTGTCCTGAACAGACCCATGAGGTCTGACTTCCACTGATTAGCCTCTTGTCTTGGTTAAGTTGATATTTGTAAGAGATTGAAATGCTTAGACGTGATGTTGGGTTGAATTATGGAAGTAGTGGGTGTTGCAGGATAATTTTGAAGTGGAATTTGAAGAAGCTGTGAGTGAGGTGAAACTTGGAGAGAGTTTGATTGTTCACTTCAAATATCACTGCAGCAAAGCTTAGATCAAATCCTTCTTCTCTGGAGGGGAAACGTTATTACAAGCTCGTGTTGTGATATTAGTACTTTTGAGAATCACAGAAAAAAACCCATGTGATTGGTATGGATTATTCTTCAACAAGTGATTTTAGTAGTAAAAAAGGTAGTTTGTTGTTTGATTGTAACGTAGCAGTAGAAAAGATGAAAGAATGGAAGTATGTTAGTGAAAAAAGCAGTCATGTATGGTGTTTTGAGTGCAATTTTGTTTGTCTGCTTCAAGTACTGGGCAATTGCTTTCATGTAAGCTGAAATTCATTTGCAAGTGAAAAAGAAAATCATTTCCATGGAACTGCAACCAAGGTTTGCCAGGCACAGTTTTATGAATAGGTGTTTCTATTCTCTTTTTGGGATATAAAGGCAGGTTTATGTTTTCTTGAAATTCATTATACTTTTCATATTTTAAATATAAGTTTCTATTATTATCTTTAGAAAAAATCCTAAGCGATTCCTCCATTCTTCCATCTCTCACAATCTTCCAAAAGACAGCGTTGGCAATGCAGCAGAAACATGCCTATCTCTCTTACACAAAAACTTGCTAACTCAAAAAGCCACCCAACAGCTCCACACTCACTTTCTCATCTCTGGCTCCCTAGACCATCTCCCCAACTCTCTGCTACTCTTCAACTCTCTGCTTGAATCCTATGCCCTCAACGAAAAGCCCCAAGAAGCTTTTTTGCTTTTTAAACATGGACAACAGCATGTCCATCTTAACTTTCACGCTTCTCCGACTCAGTCCTTCGATATCTCTACTTGTGCTTTCCTTATAAAAGCCAATGCTTTTCTATGCTGCTCCATCTTGGGAAGACAGGTGCGTGCTTCAACAGTGAAAGTGGGTTTTCAGTTTCATATCTATGTAAAAACTTTTTTGGTCGATATGTACGCAGCTTGTGGAGATTTGGTTGTTGCAAGGAAAGTTTCTGTGAAATGCCTGAAAGGAACTCGGTCACGTGGAATGCTATGATCACTGATTTAATTGAATGGGATGAGCTTGAAATGACGCGTAGTCTTTTTGAAGAGCTGCTGGATAGGACTGTTATGTCGTGGACGGGTATCATTGACGGGTATATGAGGATGAATAAGTTTGATGAAGCTATAGCTTTGTTTTGAAGAATGGTTGTTTTTGAAGGTATAAAACCCATTGAGATTACAGTCCTGGCCATTTTACCAGCCATTTTCAGTAAGGGAGATCTTAAAATGTGCCAGTTGGTTCACGGTTATGGGGAGAAAAGAGGCTTTAATGCATTTGATATTCGTGTTATGACTGCACTAATAGATGCCCATGCTAAATGTGGATGCATAGTGAGTGCGTCGAGATTCTTTGAGGAAATATCATCAAAGAGGAGAAATTTGTTTACACGGACATCTATGATTTCCGGGTTTGCAATGCATGGAATGGGGAAAGAAGCTGTAGATTGATTTGCAAGTATGGAGAAAAACGGTCTCAAGCCAAATCAAGTAACATTTTTAAGTCTCCTGGATGCTTATAGTCATGGAGGATTGGTTGAACTGGGGCTCAAGTTTTTCCAGAAGATGGTTTGCAAAAGGTCAAGTTTTACCGGGCATTAAGCATTATGGTTGTCTAATAGACGCACTGGGAAGGGCAGGGAGGTTGCAAGGTAAGGATGATATAGGTGATAGAGTTACCGGAAGTTATTGGAGATGGAGAGAGGTTATGGAGGGGATTGAGTGCTTATGTCAAACATTCTTGCTGGTGTGGGAAGGGTTAGTGACAGTGAAAGGTTGAGGATCAGAATGGATCAGAGGAATGGTGTGACTGAAAGTACAAGTGAAATTCATTTAGTAGACTCATAGTCATAGAGTTACTTGCATTACAAGTTCAACAAACTAGCTAAGATCTCTAGGAATAAGCTTTTGGGATCGCATCCTCAAGTAATCCTTTTGTGACTTCCATCTTTTCGATGTAATCCTCAAGAAATCCTCAGGTTTATGAAATCATAAACCTGCTCTTAATATCCCAAAAAGTGAACAGAAATACCTATTCATAGACTGTGCTTGGAAAAACTTGGTCCACGTAAATGATTTTCCTATCATTGCAAATGATTTTCAGGTTACATGAAAGCCATTGCCCAACACTTGAAGCAGACAAACATTACACTCAACACCATACATGACTGGTTCTTTTCACTAATATACTTCCATGTCTTCCATCTTTTCTATTGCTACGGTACAATCAAACAACAAACTATCTTGTCTACGACTAAAATCACTGGTTGGTGGATTATCCATTCCAACCACATGGGGTTTTCCTGTGAATTTTCAGAAGTACTGAAATCACTACATGAGCTTGTAATAACAGTTCCCTCCAGAGAGAAGGATTTGATACGCTTTGCTGCAGGGACATTTGAAGTGAACAATCAAACTCTCTCCAACTTTCTCCACACTCACAGCTTCTTCAGATTCTGATTCAAGAGTATCCTGCAACCACTCACTACTTTCATAATTCAACTCAACATCACGTCTAAAGGTTTCAGTCATTCACAAATATCAACTTAACCAAGACAAGAAACTAATCAGTGGAAGTCAAACCTCATGTGTCTGTTCAGGACCAGCATCTTCACTATCTTGCAGCACTTTCTTGCACCATTTACTCATCTGCTTCATGCGTTCCTTCATTCTCCTCAGCCTCTGCCATTACCAAATTTTAACTCCTTAAATCTTTCACACAACAAAAAAAAGAAAGAAAAATCCACCAATTATATAAAGCACAATTATGTTGGAGCAGCTCCAAGAAGAAGGTTCTTGCCAAATCTTTGACTGAAAAATTGAAAACACCATGTGTACGACAAAGAATCACATCATAATGGAACAAGAATCAAAGTAATTTACCTTAGTATCGGGACTCTCCTCCTTGATGGAATCTTTTCCCATGGAAAATGTGTTAGCGGGCGACGGGTTCGGGTCGGACGCGGATCTCCTCAGAGAGGGCGGCAGTGGTGGCAATGCAGAAGGCCCACTTCCCTTTGGCGCAGAGAAGGCCACGGGAGCTGTCTCCTGATTGCTAGCTTCTATTCTTGGATTCTCTATAGGTGACTGTGTCGGTTCACCTGATCCGTGTCCACATGAAGGATCGAGGTAGGAGGGATAAGGATCTGAAATGGAACGATGAAGAACGGGGGTGGAGGGGTTGAGGGTGTGGGTGGGGTTAGAGAATGAAGCGAAGGGAAGGGAAATCTGGAGAAGCCAAGAGGGGATAGGTTGGCGTCTCTTGATGTGAGAAGAGTTCTTGGATTTGGGTTGAGTGGAAAGGGAGGATTCAGGGGATGAGCGCTTCATGGTGGTGGTGGGGGTGGAGGCTGGGGCGCCGGCGTTGGAGACTGAGGAGACGGCGCAGGAGAAGTTGCAGCCACAAGAGGTGCAGGGAGGATACGATGCGGCGGCATTATAGCTGTTGATGCGGAGGAGGGATAAATCCACATTTTCTTGAAGATTGCCTACTACCAACTCATTCTTATTTTCATATTGAGTCATTGCTTCAAAGATCTTAAAGCACAGGATCTTTCACTCTGTAGCTTTGTTGCTTTTATTTATTTTTTTCTTTACTTGGAGAAGAAGACTGGGGAAAATGTAGAAGGAGAGAAGAGGAGGCTTATAAAATGGATTCCCTTGGTTATCGTCAGATTACGAAGGAGAGCAGTTCGTTTTTGTTTGATTCTAACGGATTTGAGCGCCAATTTGGTGTCCCTGGTCATATTTGATTTAATCTGATAATCCATCGAAATCAACAGCCCGTCTAGCTCAGTAGGTAGAGCGCAAGGCTCTTAACCTTGTGGTCGTGGGTTCGAACCCCACGGTGGGCGAGTGTATACTTTCTGTGGTCGGTGTTTATTTTCTTTTTTACTTCTCTTAAAACAGTAGGATTTCCAATACATGTTTTAAACCTTTTTTTTTTTTCTTTACAAACATTTTGACCTTATCTTGTATTAGAAATACAATGTTTACATAGTATAATTTTATTTGAGTTATAAATTTTGTATAAATAATAAATATTTAATACAGAAATATTTATAAATTACTTTTTTTAAATAACTAAAAATAACACATAAATAAAAATTGCTTGTTAAAAAATAATATATTCTGTAGGAAACAATAAATATTTTTATAAAAAGTTAATAATATTTTTAACTAGTGTATTCTATTAAATTTGTCTTATTAATTTACTAATATAATACTTTTAAAATAAAAAATTATCACAGTTTATTTTTTTATTGTTCTACAATTTTTATTATTTCAATCTTTATTGTCCAATTTATAGTGAATTAATTAAACATAATATTACTTTTTATATTAAAATCACTTACAGAAAATTGGTATCATAGTGCTCTAATCCTTAAATTTAATCTAAAAGAAAATTATTTTGTTAATATTTTCAGCATATTCGCAACAATCCAACCCTCACAACAATCAAGCAGTACAATTCGCAAATCTGAGAAGACTGTGATCATTACTAAAGAAAGAAATGAGGTCAAACAAAATAAAAATACATTACCACAATTAACTTATTGAATTGTATTCCTCCGTAGAATTTAGAGGTTTCTACATATGAAACATACAACAGCAAACTAAATACTGGAAAAAAAGATGATAAATGGTCAAATCCAGTAAGAATTTTCGTGGCAAAAACCCAGCTCACCACTCATCCAACATCTTGAGCCACAAAAACAGTTCTTCCCCATCCAAGTACACATACAAGAACGATCATAAAATTAATACCATTATGTGTCATCAGAAATACCCGTCCTCCAAATGGGATTATAACTTGGTGTCATCCTATCAATCATGTCTGCGGTACACTCCCGACAATAATATACCACATTGAATGAAGATTAATAAATCCGTAATAATCCTGGTAGCACTTGCCTGTTCATCTATAGATAAGCTTCAAAATCATTACTCTAATTGATGTTCAACTGTGAACACAAAGGGACTGCAGCTCTTCACTTCACAAAGGGCACTCCAGAAGGAACATATTGGGCATATATCTCATATTCAGATCCAAAGAACCGTCTCAGAAAATATTCTTCGTATGGTATTCGTTTTGCAAAGAAGCGCCACACGACAAGTGCAAACACAATTGTTGACAAGGGATTACACAACATTACCTGAGTGCCAACAGACCAGACGAAGAAACCACAATAGCTTGGATGGCGCATAAATCTATAAACTCCATGAGTAATAAGTTTGTGTGACTCCTCATGGTGTACCTTGATAAGGTGTGTAAATGACTGACCAGCTGTTATTATTGCCATTTTCCGGATTATTTCCCCAATTATAACCATCAGAAGTCCAAAGTTGCTAATCCACCAGTACTCCTTCAACCCCGAAAAGAAAATAATTTCAATAAAGTACTCTAGCAATGAGGAAACCATTGCAATAATATAATATTTGCTTATCAGAAGTGACTGAAGATTAACTTTTGATCTTCCATGAACTGCAACTGCCAAGACATATTCGGAACTATGAAAGAAAATTACTGCCAAGAACATCTGAGATAGCTGTCTGCAAGCTTCATAATTTAATATTTCTGTCATTGTTATCAGATAGGATGAATCAATTTGTTCTGCTATATAAGGTACAGTAACAGAATACCACTGCTGTTTCAGCTAGCAGAACTCACCAATAATGACTGCAATTTCAATACCCGATATACTTCTGAACTGGTTTAGAAAAGCTTCAAGAATGACATTTGCTGAACAAGAAAGAGCAAAAACAGAATAGCATTACACCACTAGACATTTACTCGGATGCATAGTAGCTGGCACATTTATGGAAACATTTTCTAAAAAAAGCTACGGATAATTTGCTCTCTTTAGTCTTGACTTGCATGACAGGTTGTTCAGGCAATTAAGATTTGATATTTCACCATCAACATTTAAATTGTATTATCATTTTGACAATACAGTGACTGGTTCAAAAAAGTGTCAATCTTCGGCATCCAAATGTTAATATATGATCCAATCTGGTCAAGAAGCCAAGATCTATGGTAATACGTTGGATGCATCTTCCGCATAATCATAGCTAAGATATAAGAACTATAATATAAATCAAATAAACAAGCAAAACAAAAGCTCCCTTTATACATAAATCATAAATCACCAACAATTCTGCTTAACCATAAATCATAAATATGAGAAAATTTGGATTCAAGAAATAGTACCGGATGGTGAGGGGAAGGCACGCATCTGGTGGTGTAGACTTCTAAGATGGCTAACATTCTATTTAAATTTCGTTAAATTTAATTCATGCTTCTGCTTCTTCTACAATACATGTTTATAGAGTTGGCACAAGGCACGCCGGTGCCACTGCCCGCTTCCGGTCGATGATATCAGTGTCCTGAGAGTGAGATTGGAGCAGCCATGACGATTGAAAAATGTGTTGATTTGAGAAGATGAAGATAAAAAAAACTGAAAATAGGGTTAGGGCTTCAAGTTTCGGGACTAACCTCGGGACCGATGATTCTATTGTCGTCGGCGCTGCCGCTGCTCTGTGAGAATAAAAGAAACCGTGAATGAGAAATAGATAGACTGATAATCGTTGCTTCGATTTCGGTTTCAGTAACGAAGCGGTAGGGGGAGAACGGAGGCGCGTTGGGGTTCCAGAGGAAAACTGGATTAATTTACAACTTAGTCCTCAACTTTTGATCTTATTTTCCAAGTAGTCCTTAACCTTTATAAAGGTTTAAAATTAAACCCCAACTTTTCACTTATATTACAACTTCCCAAATAATGTGAGTCTTTTATTATCGTAAATTTGAAAATTTTAACTTTTTTATCTTTTAGTAACTTCAGCATTCAATATTTTTTTAATTTTTTTCATTTATTTATTCTTAATTAACATTATTTAGCAGCAAATTATTAGAAAAATTAATTCTTAATTATAAAATAAAATTAAGAATCATTAATTCACGAGTTTCTTTGTCTCTTATAATAATTTTAACCATGAAGAAATTGAAAGCAAACAATATGTATTAAATTTATATATGTTGGTTTTTTTTTTTAATATTATCAAACAATAAGCATATGTTAAAGTGAGACTATCCATCAAGTCCAATACATATATTGTTATTTAATTTTTAATTTGAATCATAATTTAAAGTCTTCATAAATTATAATAAATATTAACAATTACATAAATCTCACTCCGAAACAGTATAAAAAAATATAACTTCAATTGAAATCTTATTAAAATGAAGAAACTCAAAAATCTTATGTAACAGCCCCGAAAATTCATAATGGAATGTATATTAAAAATATCAAATGCGAAAGCGAAGTCAAAAATTCGATTAACATCCCTTACACTAAAACCAAAAACGTGCTCACAATATAAAAGATTAAACTACCTAAAGAAGAAACTTGAAAGTAAAAGCTACAAATATGACTATGGAGTCTTTAGGTGTCCCCTTCGTCGTCCTCCTGCGGAACCGGCTCGGAAACAATGTCTTCTTGATCTGAAATGATTAAATAAGAAATGAGCTACACTAGCCCAGTAAGGACATCACGATATCCACCGTCACGGAGGTAAAGGTGGGTAGAAAACACAAAAAGACCAATGGAGCATAATTTACAACAAAACCTTTTATCAATAAAACCTTTACCATTCACTTACCCGGTGAAATTCATAAGACAATATACGAAAACTATAACATCATTATCATCATGAAATCATGTATAAACTGTATAACGTAATACTTATCAAGCCTTTCGAAATTCAATCGTTACACAATATATTTTCCTCATTTACCAGCCCACTAGTCTCATGGGGATCCATAGGGGTCCTGCTACCCGTTAACCCTTAACACTTGAAATCATATTCCAGGGCCGTCCTCATACCCCGTCCGGTATGGGCGCCAAAACCATAAACCTCATTACCCCGTCCGGTATGAGGGTGAAACGGGCTGTCCCCATACCCCGTCCGGTATGGGCACCAAAATACATAAGATCTCCATACCCCGTCCGGTATGGGAGACCACAATCCCAGTAGGGTTCCCTACGGACCCGGTCCGTCCACCATCTCCCAGGATATCTAGTCAGGCTGACCACATTATACAATTACCCATTTACATAATCTTTCATTCTCTTTTTCCCGCAGTCAGCATTATCAATACACATACAAACAAGCAAGACGATAATTTATGGCAAACAGACAACATACAGTATCAATATCCCAATCATTCAATCCATAATCAGTAAAATAGTAAAATATGCACACGAAACTTTAAAATGAAAACATCAAACCTCATGCTGCATTTAAAACTGTAAAACAGGCCAAATAACAGTTAATCGACAAACACACTAGACTCGGGCTCCATTAGCGACCTTAAGCAATTTCACACATTCGTTGATTCATGAAATACCGTTTTATCATTTATTGAACTTTAAGACCGTGATAGGAAATAGGGTGAGGGGTCCTTACACGTTTCGGGGTCCGAACACGGCTTCACAGTGCGCCTACAGGCTGTCCCCAATTTTCCCTGA